TTAAATTTTCAGGTAAGTCCATCATGTTTTTTAAAGTTATTGAATTGAGGATAAAAACTGCAGTCTGAAGTTATGATACGGAACAAAAAAATTATCTAGTTAATACAATCATTAACGATTGATCAACACGTTTAACAGGACAAACAACAAATATATATAATAAGTATTTGAAGTATTTATATCTTTTTCATTCACTGGTGTTTTACCTGCATCACAAAGGCCTGCTTTGATTTGAAACTGCTGAATGTAATTTTAATTGCATCGCATGGGCCAGTTTTGCTTTGAAACTATTGAAGGATAGAATTTAACAAAAGCAATGAATTTCTATCTGTCATTGAGAGAATGGTCTGTATATTCAGATGTAAATACTTCAAATAATATTTGCCACCATCAGATAATTTCATCTTTACAATTGACCATAAATACTTCCTCGGCTTCAGATCGAGACATGATGGATGCCATTCCATTTTCTTCTATATTGTAAACATTCACGGTAACCTTAGATACACGAGAAGGGATATTGTAGTGCAATCACTGTTACCCGATATTCGTGCGTAGAAATTACTTTCGAAAGTCAATTTTTATGCATTTTTTGGCCCAATTCTTACGCTTTGAAATATTTGCTTTAGTGGGATGTGATTGACTGGGATATTTCTTGAAAGAAATATTTGGAAAACATTCTGCAACTTTTGTCCGTCTTGACTCCCTAAATTCCAGTTCTGAGCACTGTTCAAAAGTCGTTGCTTTGCTATAATTATATTTGCTCCGAGTTCTCAACTTAGTTATATTTTCAACAATACCATTTATCTCTCGTCGATCTCTGTGAAGCTTCATTGATATGACCAATATGAATATTCCTTTACTCCATAACATTTTTATTTTCCATTTTTCAGAATTTGGTAGATTTTTTTTTCAATTATCCATATTAAATATATTCTTGTAAAAAAAGAAAATGTAGTTTCGATTTTATTTCAGATTCTTTAAACTGATATTAGGTTGATCTGCATAATGACTTCAGAATAAGGTTTTTATAATAAATCCAATAAATTTAAACTACGTAAAAGTTAACATTAAACTTTTCGCGATATTTACACTGTCGTTAGACATTTTGAAGAAACTTGTCATGATTTAAAGAAAACAATCTTTCCAGAATTATGTACACGTTAATCTTAGAAATCATGAATTTCTTTTCACTGTATGTGTATTGGATGTATATACAATTATGCGACTAATCATTGTAGAAATACGTGACATTTTAAGTTTAACAAACGATTTTGGTCTTTTTGGTGTAACACAAGTTATGAAGATTAAGTGCCAAGAAAATTCATTCGTTCAAATGATAGAAATTGAGTTTGACTGGCACAACAATGCAATTTCAATACTGAAAATAATACTCAATACACATCACAATGCATTTTACACACAAAAAAAGCACACACACACACACACACACACACACACACACACACACACACACACACATATATATATATATATATATATATATATATATATATATATATATATATATATATATAAGGTGTATGAAAAAGACTTTTACAGACATTGTTAGCGTGGTCCTCATACCAAAACAATATAAATATATGTCCGTAAATCCTTCCGTTTGTGCTATTAAGTTTAATGAATGTTTACGGTAGATGATGCAGTGTTGCCATGTAAACAATATTGCTCTTGTCATACGTGTATATTTGTAGCTATTCCGTCTTTAATGTTTAACATGTGTAGTACTTTTTTTAACTGAGAGTGTTCCGTTTAAGTATAGCAGGATATCCTTATCATGAACAGGTAGATATTATTTTCACATACGGCTGCGCGAATGGTAATGGACTCGAGGCTGCAGGGCTGTATCATATTGCATTTCCAGCTCTAATGAGGCCTAGTCATCCAAACTTTGTTGCTGTTTGTGGTCGCGTAGCTGAGACAGGATCCGTGGCACCACAAATTATGGATCGAAGAAGACCAAGATCCGTTCTTACGGCTGACCATGAAGGATACATTCCACCAGATGTCCGGAAGATCCTGTCATCATAACATATCAAGTGGCCCTAGGATATTGTACATTTCATTGCACCACATAGAGCTTACCTCAAGTGCAGCTCATGTATTTGTATCATTTGCAACGTGTGTCGGGTGTTTCGCCCTCTGATCACGCACCACCTATAACTTTTGCCGATGGCATATTGAACAAACTGCCGAACCATGTTTTGTCTCTTCACTCTTTTTTTTTGCGGACGAGTAACATTTGGAAGAGATAGAATAAAACATTTGCACATCCAAAACTTGTGGGCGGATCAGAATCCCCATACATACTAGACACAAGTGTCAGTTTACAATTAATGTGTTGGCTGGAATGGTAGATGACTGACTGTTAAGTCCATATGTTTTCCTAGCACGTCTTACAAGAGATGCCTGCCGTGAATCTATCTCGAACAAAATTTAAGACCTGCTAGAGTATGTACTCCTAATACAATGACATTTG